AAAAACAGACTAAACAGTAAAATTTAAAATAATCTTATTTATACTTTGGATTTTACTTATCTTCCCCTCTGGCTTTAATTTATTGTGTGTTTTAGTTAAGATAAAATTGAAGGTAATTTTTTTTTATTTAGCAGTTATTGGTGGTTTCTGATCCTATATTGTCTGACAAATTTTGACTGTCCAGTGTCTTTATATGGCATTATTAGGGATTATTTATCAAATAAATATGTGATTTCTTCAGTCTGGTGGTTTTAAAATTTGAGCATAGTCTCCAGAAAATATCTGCAAGCCAAACCTTGCAGACATCCTCTGGAACATCCTTTTTAATGATTTTCTTTCCTAGAACTTTGGGTAACATGCCTCAATTGCCTGTGCTGACAATGCACTGATTTTGATTAGAGATAATTCAAGAGTAGATCTAGAGGATGGGCTACAGCATCATTACTAGGATTACTGAGTGGACAAACAAAATAAATCCATTTTTAATCCAGACAAAACTTGTGGTATAGTTTTTAGTAATCCAGGATCCTTCACCTTTATAAAAGAGGGATGACAATTAAAATCAGGAACCAGTCTGTAAAGATAGTTGATCATATTAAGTACAGTCGACTCCCTATAACACTGTTGATTATTCCGTTTTATATGAATTCCATGTTATATGAGTCACTTAGATTTTACAAATAAGTGAGCCATTCATAGCCTGGCACACATATTTGTAAAATCTAAGTGACTCGTACAACATGGAATTCATATAAAACAGAATTATCAACAGTGTTATGGGGGGTCGACTGTATGTAGGAGTTACTTTCAATTAAAAGCTTTTGTGGGCCAAACATATTTTGTGCAAACATACTGGACTTACCTACTAGCAGTCATTTGCTAAGATTGCAAAGAGTAATTGAAGCATGAACTCAGAGGCAATGAGTTCTCTCTATAATATGATTTTCTTTCCTATTACAGTACAACTCTGAATAGTGGACACCGGTGAGACAGAGAAGTTTGTCCACTGTATAGAGGTGTCCACTATTTGGAGGTACATGTCGGAGGCCATATTGTATTTTAACCTGGTCATTATAAAATGAAGAATATGATGGATTATGTAAACTTCAAATTTTGCATTAGGAATGTGAAAATACCAAAAAGTATATGTAGCATATATAATTAAAATATAGGGTAAAATTGGTTTGAGATGCCTATAGTTTTTATCAACACATATAACTAACTTAACTGTAGTTTTCAAAAAAAATAACCCTTGGCTGGATATGCATTAAATATTTTCTCTTTTAATAAAAGTGAACAAAGTTAAATAAAAGCTCAAAGTGACAGTGGTAGCAATGAAATGATACTTGTCCATTTTGGACATCTATCCTGTACTTCCTGGAGAGTTGCCTAATGCTTACGGATGAGATGCCTACTTTATTTAACATTTAATTTAATCAACAGTTTGCACTCTCTGTATTTTCCACACAAATTAAACTCTGTAATATTTTTGCACATCCTGCATCAAATCCTATTGGCTCTATTTGTCTCAATTTTGTGACTTAATTATATGATAAGTTTATTTTTCATTTTGAGTATCTAAAATTGAATATAATACAAGAGCTTGCTTTGCTAAATTACTATCTTTAAGTCTTCTGTGAAGAGTACGATGAGAAATGTTAAACTCTTTGCTTAATTGATAGTACATACTAGTCTTCTAAATTACTGTTTCAGCTGGAAGAACTAAGTCCTTTTCAGTCAATTTTCCTCTATTGGTATCAATTTCCTTCTTTTATATTCAGTAGATATTGAAAATTAATAAATTTAATTAATTTTTTTTGTTGCTCAAACACTATTAAGTGTGACAAATTTAAACACTTGCGTTTTTTCATCTTTATTTGGTTGATACGCGTATTATCCACTAAACTTATATCAACAGGAAATTTAAAGAAAGTGTAGAAATCCTCAAAACTAAAAATTGTATAAATAAAAATCTGAGCATTATAATAAACGAAAACTGGTTAAAAGTGTTATGATAAAAGGAAATTTTTTTAAATTGAATGATACATGTATTTGAATACGTATACTACTAAAAGAATTTTAAAGGTTTAAAAATAGTCTAAGCTATTTTTATATCCCATAACAACTGATTTACAATAATTGTTATGATAACTTGGTTATAAATCTGCAATAATAAAAATTTAATAAAGAACCAGTCACTATATGATGTAAGATTATGCAAATTTGTATCAAACTACATAGTTGAAGTATTGGAAACAGCAGGACAATAAAAAACTGAAATTAAGTGTGATATCTACTTACAAGAAGTAACTTTTGTTTTTTTTATAAACTTATGTGCACCAAAAAATGGAACTTAAATGACATTTCTTATGTTATTGTCCCAGAAAAAGGACAAGATGCTTTCTGTTGTAAAGAAAAGCCGAACTATAATTGAAACTCTGTTAAATATGGCATTGTTTTGGGATGGAAATAAAGAACATTGATCTCAGGTACAATGTTTATTGATAGATTTGTATGGACTTGGTTTTGTGTTAAATATTTGAATTTGAAACAGATGTATGCAAATTCTCATACTGTTGGTGCATTCATCCTTTGTCTCATTGTCTGGAGGGAGAGTACATTTTAATGTATATGCGTCTCGCTGGTCATAGTATTGTGATAGTAAATTTTGAGGTACATTTTCAAAAGCATATTAATAGTTTATGGAAGTTTCATAATGTTGTAATTAACATAGAACTGGATTATAGTATCGTGAAAGTAAATGTAAGATTTCTGGTGTTTGTCTAGAAGGATATACAGCAGATTGTATTACCCGTATATATATCAAGTTTGTATACAATATAGAGGTATGTACCACAAAATAATTTACATTTGGCCTGTATGAATTTTTTGTAATTTTATAGTTTTATATATATTTCCTTGATTGTATGAATTTTATTGTTTTAGTTGGCTGATGAGGGGCAGAATGAGCCCGAAATGTGTAATATAATACAAGTATCAACTAAATAAAGATGAAAAAACACCAAATGTTTAAATTTGTCACACTTAATAGTGTTTGAGCAACAAAGAAATTACAAAACATGGTTTCAAATTATAAAGAAAAATTTAATTAAGTTCATAATGAAATATTTCAGAAAAAATATGCATCTCTTCATTAAATTCACTAGGCATCTCACCCAAACAATATGAGAGAGATGCCTATTTCTATATTTTGGACTAAAATTATTAGGAGGACATCTGGCTTTGACTACAACACAACTAACTAATCCTACTTTCACATGAAACAGAAATATCACATAAACATATTCAAATTTCAGAACCTTTCGTATAAACATGAATGTCACAAAAAGTTTATAAAATAACATAAAAACATAGAATGGAATTCACGCCAACACACTTACTTGAGAGAAAAAGAATAAGTCAACAAAAATACAGCATTAAAGAGATTTTTTAATTCTTTTGCTAGCACTTTCAATATTAATATAAATATCGTCATCAGGCAACTGAAATGGAAGACTTTTTCTGAACAAAACTTTGAAGTACAGAATTGGAACAATGTTAATCAAACAGAATACAAACTTTTAACATAAAATTTTTTAAAACATTTTTAAAATAATGTGTTATCTAGGTGCATGCACAGAGATGTGGAATTGGAGACAAGCGATCAGTTATTATTATTTATACGTTTATATAAATTAAGCCAAACGTAGCCTGATTATGATATTTATATTAATATCGAAAGTGGTAGCAAAGGAATTAAAAAAGCCCTTTAACGCCATTTTTTGTTGACTTATCCTTTTTCTCTCAAGAAAGTTTATACAGTGATGATAAACAAACTTATTTTTAATGAAAATATCAGGAAAACAACCATTTGAAAAATAATGAAACACAAAAATGTTAAGCATAGTCACCATGAAAGTGACTAGTGACTTGTTCTACTGAGTATCATTTGAATAAACTGTCTCTAGGTTTCTCTCCCTCCTAGGCCACTCATCCAGTTTTACCCTAACTACAGTAGCCCATATTATTTATCTTATCAGCGGGGGCGCTGTTGAGTAACCTCGGCTGCTGGTGACTTTTTGTTGGAGATTTTGTTAACACTTTTTCTTATTGTAAATTACTGTGTCTTTTATTTATTTGCTATCCAAGTTGGTGCATTTTTATTGTGTTATTCAGTGTTATTAGTTCTAATTTTTTTGGAAATGTTCCCACGTACTCCTCCAGAGGCATTAAAGCAAACCCAAGAAGAACGGAAGGGAACTAAACATCACCGTTCACCGAGTGATCCTGGTGTTAAATATCCAAAGTTGGATCAATATTTTAAGAGGCAATCTCNACGTGAAGAAAATCCGGGTGGTATATCCCCCATTGGCAGATCGCACATATGTATCGTTACCATATACCATTAAACCAAATCAAACCATACCAGAACTAAATTGGTTAAAGCCAATTCTGAATTTATCCACGAGACTAATTACAATAAAACACGTCATAACTTCTTTCACAACAAAACGCTGGTCTCTTTGACAGATACTTGTCTAAGGAATAAGAAGAGCCTCTGATTAAAGATGTCAATCGTACAGAATTTTAGAAAAAAAAAAAAAGGTAATTTTGGTCTTTCTCTACTGTAATTTAACATAGGACAAGAATAGGACGTTTCTTGATTAAAACAATAGTTTAATTCTTCTCGAAATTCCTGGATGAACTGTAGCGATTTACAACAGATATTACCTTAGAAATCATTATGTATTACAGTTGATATGTATCCATAGATTCTTAAGGTAATTAAGAATTGGCTAGATACGAATTATGTTTGTATACTGGCCAATGGCAAATAGGCAATATCCTTTATAAATTACAATCCTTTTTCACGTCACACTGATCGGTAGATGCTAACAGATAATGGAAGTGCAAAGTTCCGCCCACTAGATAGTGTTATTTTGTGGAGAAGATAAGATAAAAGTATCGGTGACCGCCTCATTTACGTACTGAACCATGTCTCGATCGGTCGCATTGCGCTTCCTGGAATGGATGCAATCCTGCGGAGGATACTCTATCTTTCGAGCCTGGAGGAAAAGATCTCTGTTATTGCTGGCACCCATCTTGCTGCTTCCTCTTCCCTTCCATTACGGAACTCAAGTAAGATAAATCCCATTGTCGTCTGTGTGTCAGTCTGTCCTACCTTAATCTCGTGTTATATATTAATATATGAAATTTAATACCAGATATGAAAATTTTAGGGATAGGAGGCCCAAATTAACTATTAAGTTATCCCTCAACTAACAGTTCTTTTAATTTTAAACTTAAAAGTTAATGTAGATTTGGAAAAACAATTATTATCTTTTCAAACTTATTATCAGAGAATTTACACTTTCTCCAGTTTGAATGAATATTATCAGTTACAATTAATATTCTATATTCTAGATAAAAATTTCATTTTCCATTTAAAAAAAGCAATGTTTTTGCTGGACTTTTCCAGCATACTTTATCTGTTTTCATTCTTAACCATTGCTACCATTACCTTTGTAAGTCTTCAGACTGGACATATAAAAGGAATAAGGCCATATCTTCCGAACCAATAATTCGATTTTCCTGAAAATTTGTAGAAACATTTCCACCAAATACTCAAATACTTCTGCAAACTTTCAGTAATTTTCGACAAAAGGCGCAGAAGTTATTAAGATTCAAATTAGGTGAACAAAATCGTGTCTCCAATCCATACATACATTAAAAAAAAAGCCTCATTTTTTCATTTATAGCCAGAATTTTAATTCATAAATTTAATTAACTCAATATAACTCATTAATAATTAATTTATTAAGGTTTTTTTTAATGTAGAAAGTAATAAACGTTAATTAAAAAAACATTTGTTTCGATTTTGACACAAATTTTGCTTGTGTACAATGCGAATATTTACTTAATACAAGAATAATCGACATTTCCATCGTTAAATATTCGTTAACGGTCAATAAACTTAATTAATTTTTTAGTCAAAACGTTAAAAATAAGTCTACAGAATCCATTTATTTAACGAAATCTTAATCTCTAAGGAAGTATCTCTGTAATTACAGCTAACTTCCAGTTGAGAATCTCCATTAATAATCACGAAGGAGTTTAATGAAAAGTAATGAAGTTTCCTATAAAATTCTTCTTTTCTCAGTTACAGAGAGGTTAAATTTCCTCCCAGTGTAGCTTGTTTGGATAGGAAACATATCTGAAATAAAACCCCTCATACAAATGTATATAAGGTATATATTTATGTACGTAACTTTGTACTTGTTTAGCGATTGTCACATCAATAATTGCAGACTCGACTGCTTTGTACGTTTATACAGTTGACACCCCCTTTAACACTGTTGATTTTTCCGTTTTATATGAATTTCGTGTTGTACGAGTCACTTAGATTTTACAAATACGTGAGCCATTCACAGCCCGGCATACGTATTTGTAAAATCTAAGTGACTCGTACAACAAGGAATTCATATAAAACGGAAAAATCAAGTGTTATAGAGGGGTCGACTGTATATATATATATGGGCCAATAAATTCAGAATAACACTTCAAAGTTTAAGTTCGCATTAAACTCCTTTATGGAAGAAGGTAAAGAAATTCAATTACACCCCCTTTCGTGTATTCTGAGAAGCGTATAGAATTTAATATGTTAAATAGAACCGTACACAATAGAACGGTGTGTTCCATCCTTGTATAAAATAATAATTTATCCTACTTACATTCGAGCAGAAAGATGGGCAACAACATATATGTGTTATATAAATAAGAATAATTTTAATTTAAGTGTTTGGACTGTATTTATTTTCTTTTAGTTAGAAAAATAATATAATTATTTGTAATAAAAGTCATAATACAACGATAAAAATTCTCATAAAATTCCACAGTTTTCTTCTATCTTTCTCGTTACTTTCTTCTATCTTCTCTTATGTAATTACACTAGGAATTATTTAAATGTGTTATGTATAAATATACGAATAATTATTCGCTTATATTCCACATTATTTATTATTATTATTATCATTATTATATAATTTGTTAATTAGGTAAAGTAAGCATTTGACAAGAATAAATACAGTCGACCCCCCTATAACACTGTTGATAATTCCGTTTTATATGAATTCCATGTTTTACGAATCACTTAGATTTTACAAATATTTGAGCCGTTCACAGCCCGGCACACGTATTTGTAAAATCTAAGTGACTCGTACAACATGGAATTCATATAAAACGGAATAATCGAATATTTATGGACTGTATTAACAATGATAATTTTAGAAAGGGGCGCTGTTGAGTAACCTCGGCTGCTGGTGACTTTTTGTTGGAGATTTTGTTAATACTTTTTCTTATTGTAAATTCTGTGTCTTTTATTTATTTGCTACCCAAGTTGGTGCATTTTTATTGTGATATTCAGTGTTATTAGTTCTAATTTTTTCGGAAATGTTCCCACGTACTCCTCCAGAGGCATTAAAGCAAACCCAAGAAGAACGGAAGGGAACTAAACATCACCGTTCACCGAGTGATCCTGGTGTTAAATATCCAAAGTTGGATCAATATTTTAAGAGGCAATCTCCTCTGGATCCAGATAGAGAAGAATTGTTAAATTTACGGCAATATTTGGAGACGACTTTAAATGCAGTAATGATGCAGTTGAAGTGTATCGAAGATAGACTTGCCAGTCTGGAAATGGCCAACCAGTCAACCTTGTCCTCGGTAAGGAAATTGGAAACTGACTTTTCTAACGTAAGTTCCCGATTAGATAAACTGGAACAGCAACAACAGTTATCATTGGAAGATATTGGTGAGTTACATTCCTTTGCCTACGATAGACAAGTTAATGCTTCAAACAGAAGCAATTTAATGTTGTTTAACCATAGTATTCCGCCCGAGTTGGATTCGCGGGATTATATTGTTAACCTATTTTCTAAGGAACTGGATGTGACTGATCTGTCGGGGCATAATATTGTCGGTGTTTCCCGGTTGCGAGGTAAAGCTCGGGAATTCTATTGCATCCAGTTGTCGTCCTGGAAATGTCGAAACCATTTATTGCAAAAATTTCGGACGAAAACCTTTCAAGCGGGTAAGGAAAAATCGGTGAAATTTAGGTTGGCACCGGATCTGTCGTTTAACTCCCGTGTTCGCCGTAAAAATCTGGTTACCTTTTTAAAAGAATACAGGGGAGCTGGTCGTCGTGTTTTTTTGCGAGATGACGTATTACATGTAGACGACAAGACATTCACGTATTCTATTTTGGGCCATCGTTTAATTGAGGTGCCTGTTTCTTTTTTATTTTGAATTTTCCTCCCCGCAGGAGAATAGGTTTGGAGAGACTTTCAACTTCGTGCCCGGACCAGTTAGGTTCAGGTAGTTATTCGGAATCTTTGTTTTTTTGGAATTGTTGTGGGTTTAGTACCAAGTGTTCTTTGTTGGATTACATGACTAAACGACCAGGTTTAATTTGTATAACCCTTGTCGAAACCTGGATGGTATCAGTGGATGGGGATTTTCTTGCTAACTTTCTTCCAGTTAACTGGAAGTATTTCATGATTCCAGCGGAAAAGCCATTGGGGCCGGGTAGACCCCATGGGGGTATTTTGTTCTTTTTTGATAAGGTTAGAGGGCACTTTGAGTTGTTGGAAACATACCCTGATTTGATAGTGATTGGTTTATCACTGTATTCGGCTCTCGAACCTAGGAAGATCCTGGTGTTAGTGGTATATGCTTGTTCGCTGAGGCAGCATGGCTTACGTTTGGATTTGTTTTCTTCTATTTTGAACTCATGGTCTTCGTACTACAATGGAATTGTGATAATGGGCGATTTTAACGTTCATATTGGTGAAGTAATTGACTCACATTTGGATGTAGCTTCTCCCAACATTTTTGATGTCAGAAGGTCAAAGGATTTAAAGGTTGACCCGGCCGGGAGACAATTTCTGCAATGGTTGATTGAACATGATTTTATTCTCCTCAATGGTCGTACTAAAGGAGATTTCCCAGGTGAACTAACTTTTTTGTCAAAAGTGGGTAGCTCGGTAATAGACTTTATTGTCGTTTCTCAGAANGTTTTGTAGCTTGGCATTGTGATGATTTGATAATAATTCGATTTTATATACTATGATACGCTCCTTTCTAGTCTTGTGGACATTATGTTGGTTCTTTCTTTATTGCTAGACTTATTACACCGTCACAAGACCAGTCTTAGTTTATTTTTCTAAAAAAGAATGCAATTCGTATCTTAAGTCTCTCATCAGCTTCTTGTAATATAACTGAGATTGTAAGATTTCTTCTCTTGATTCATTGGACTTTCTATTATCTTGGTTGTCTTCTCCCCTTTGAGGGAATATAGGCATCAAGTAAGAGGTTTGTCATCGAGTAACACATATACACGCATAAGTATATGAGTAAGTACGCACGAAATAGCCAGAAATTTGTTTAAATTATGACAAGAAGTCACGAACTTTTCCAGATTATTCTTAAACATGCAAAGATCTTATCCATTCTTCATCACTTCCTCAGCTTATCGAGTGTTGTGTTTGGTTTACGTAGGCATCCAAATGCGGTTACGTCGTACTGTTAATGGCAGTATATTGGATGACTGAAGCTCTCCCTCTACCCGTCACCGGTCTATTACCCATTGTTCTGTTACCTTCTTTGGGAATCGTAGATACAACAAACGTCTGTTCAGCCTACATGAATGTAAGTGTTTTTTGTATGTTTCCGCTGATCTTCAAAATCAGTGTTACTATATATGTGATACTGACACTTGACACTATTCTTCCTTTCAGGAAGCCATTATGATCGGTGTGGGAAGCATTTTAGTAGCAGTGGCTGTAGAACAATGCCGGCTTCACGAAAGAGTAGCCTTATTAGTGTTGAGAAAAATTGGAACCACTCCTAAAAGGTAAACAGTTCGTTATATTATTAAAGAATACTACTGAAGAAAGTTTTAGTAGAAAGCTCTGAATCTCTCTCTCTCTCTCCTCTATTAATTTGTGGTGGAAATCATATATTTTAAATTAAACCAATTAAAGACAAAACTTTATTCGTTTTGTAGACTTTTGGTAGGTTTCATGATCTCGTCTATGTTCATTTCCATGTGGATTGGACCCACTCCAGTCATGGCCATGATGATGCCAATCGTTAAGTCGGTTTTGGATCAACTAAAAATCATCGATTCGCAGAAAATCGAGATGGAAGGTAAAGATTTTCATAAATATTCCAGTAAAAGAAGTTAATTATATAAATATTATAAATGCCTAGCAGAATTTTCGTATGACTACCACGCTATCTTCTCACTCCTTTGACTTTTAACCACCAAAATTTAAGAGCGTCAATGCCACTTATATATAAGTTACCATGCCAAATTTCGTTACTTAATCTTTGTTCCATCTTGAGATATTAACGAAATAAACACCTCTTTTAAGAGAATGTTTTGGGTTTAGGTAGTCTCAAACCATAGTGATTTGCAAAAAATTCGAAGGGTGATTTTGGCACAATTTCAATATTTTTCCTCGTTATGTGTACAAAACAACCGGGAAAGTAAAAGGCGAAATCAATGAGACTATTCCTTTGATATTGAAGCATTCATTAAAAATGACATATCATTTTTGTATGCTAATACCATGTCATTAGCTTCACTGAAAATCGCGTAACGTCGTGTCTTAATTATAATTAACTGCGTAATTCGAGGATTTAAAGCCACAGGGATTAAATCTAAAAATGTGACATCATTCGTCGACGTAAGTATCATCCTGTCAATCAGTTTAATAAACATTTACTACGTAACGTAATCCTTCAGAAAGAATGAAAAAAGTCATTCTATTTAAAAGGAAATAACTTTCGAACTAATTGTGAGAGTTACCCTCTTTATAAAAAGAATAATTCCAATTTTTTTTCAATAATTACTTCACTTCATTGATTACACTCGGAGCATTTCTTCTTCTTTTCTTCTATTAAAAAAATCCAGCAACGAGTTGCATAACTTTCCCGGCAACGACATTCAAAACTCTGTATAACGCCATCTGTTATGATATTTTATTTTTAAAACTTTTTATATAATTAATTATTATAAAATATAAAAAAAGCTTAATTTTAAGGGTAGGGATGGGTTTAATAATAAATAAATAAAAGAAAACTGTATATGGTAATAACGAGATAAATCTTCATTGAGAGGGGTCTTTTTTGGAACGATCGCTTTACTTTCCCCTCTGTTATATATAACAGCTAGTAAAGTAAATACGTGAAAAGCTATATATATATATACAGCCAAACCTTTATATAGCATCACCCTGGTATAGCGTCAATGCATATTTGAGAATGGAAAATGTCTTCTTTGTAATACACGAAGAATAAAATTGATTTCTTCGACTTTCAAAGTCTCTGTTATGGTTCAAGGAGAGGAATACCAAATGTAAACAACGAGATTTTATTTTAAATTTGTAGATATCCTCCATATCTAAACTATTTTCTTCCCTTTTGTCTTTTGTTGTATCAGCTGAAAATAAAACAAAACCGAAAAAAAAATTGTTACAATACTAATCCAGACGAATTTCCTCCTTTCGTGACTGAATTACAAATGACAGAAAATTCGTATCTGTTTATGATTATTATTTTTTTACTTTTTAGTATTTTAAATAAAAAGAAATGGTAAACGAATTTTATAAAACAGGAAACGTTTTACTTTTTGTTTTATTATTTAATCAGATAAATCTTCATCTGTCTCGGATCATTATCAGATACAACCCGGTGAAGAAAAGGAAAAGGTTATAAGGTTGGTCTATGCCATTTATTTCCATCAAATACTTTTTATTTTATTAATTATTCTACTTTAACTTCCTCTTAGTTAATGACAATACAATAAAAAATTCACTCGAATTATACGGATCTGTTTAAATTCAATTCCTTAATTCGAGAAGTATTGTAGGAGTGATGAGATCATCCTCCAATACCGGGATCATCCACGTGGCCAGTTCGTTGATGGAACTCGAATCCCCTACCGAATGTACCCGTGTTATGTGGTTTAATCCACCGAACACAGGTAATCTGAGAAGGATAAGGCCGCTGCTCCGGGGAATCCGGAATCGAACCCGGTTGGAAAATCTCAGAAATTTTTATGGGCGATCCATCCCGGATACTCGTCCTTCATATGGCCAGCCACCCCAATTCTGGGCCTAGCCAAACCACAATAGGTTTGGTAAAAAGCTCTCTTTGTGTCCCTACAGGGTAGAAAGATAGAAAAAAATGCACAGGAAAAGACTCGTCATTTAAAACAAAGAAAAAAAACCTTCGAATAATTTATTTTAGTGGTTTTTTTAATATATTTTAAGTAGTCAGGAAGAAAATGTAGAGAGCGATCTTCTGAAGAAAGTTCTATTGCTGGCTCTTTGTTATTCCACCAACATCGGAGGTACGGGAACCATTCCAGCCACGGCACCTAATTTAGTGTTTAAAACCGTCATGGACAGGTAAAATATCATGTCTTAAAAATAATAATAATATTTTATCTGTTTATTTCCATTACATTATTTTATTTTCTTTTAGTTTTTATCCAGATTACGAAGGAATGACCTTCACTTCTTGGATGTTATTCAATTTACCAGGAATGCTGATCAATGCCACATTAATATGGATATTTCTGGTTCTCGTTTACGTAAGGAAAATGTAAGAGCACCTATAAATTCCCACTGCCGTCTGCGTGTCTGTCCTTCCTATAGATAGATAAAAGGTCTTTTATTTTAATAGGTTTAACTATACGAATAAGTGTAACGTTCAGGCTGATTTATTTTATTAAAATTAAATAGGTTATTTTATCAAAATATCTTAATAAATAGTAAATTTTATTCTTCAAAATTTCAGAAAATCTCAAGCAGACAAGTTACAAGTAAAGAAATTCTTAGACGAAAAGTATTACGAGCTCGGAAGATTAAGGTATAAAATTACAATATATTTATTTACTGTGGTGTTTATATAATAACAATGGCATTAACCTACATATATTAATAATTTAATAAAGAATTTCAGTAAATAGCTTTGAAATATATTACATACTGTATTTATTTTTAGGTTTCAAGAGACGGCAGTTCTAATTTTATTTATAATCTTGGCAATTCTTTGGTTGTTCCGTGATCCGGAATTTATGAGTGGATGGGACAAACTAATGCCTGGACCCGCGTAAGTATCATTCAACACTGTTAATAAACGTTGTTGCTTCATAATAATTATAGTAAAATTGATAACTCGTTTCTGAATATTGGTATTAAACAAATATGGCCGAATGGATAAAACCACTGAACACTTGGTCTTGGGTACGCGCTTAGCCACGTGAAGTTTTTCGAGTTTTATTCACGTTTGTAACACTGTAAATAGGCCAGTTTTCCATAGAAAAACCTTCAGGGAGGCATTCTTCTTGGCGTATGGACCAATTGTCGCGTTATCATAAGAAAATAAACCAAACACGAATACCCGTTCAGTGAATGGTCTCACGGAACCCGAGCACCCGTTCAATGAATGGTCTCAACACCAAACCCGAGATTAGTACCACGTGATACTTTCGACACTCGATACCTTTGTGCTGCTACTCACATAATTCAAAACTTGGCATCTTAATTAAACAAGAAATCTGCAAAACCAAGCTTCAAGTTTGAAGTTCCCTTGCATTGCAATCCAGCGAATTTCTTGAAATTAATTTTTATTCTTCTGCATTGAAATATTAGTGAAAAAAATTCTGCATTTTTTTTTTATTTCAGGAAGGTGACGGATGCCACTTCGACTTTAGCGGTGGCAGTTTTATTGTTTGTTATTCCGTCAGAACCCAAACTTCGTTCCACCAGTCCTTCGCTATTACAGNGGACGGCGGAAAGTAGTTCGGCTGCTCATCCACTATTGGTCCAGATTCGAATCTTGTCGCGACACGAGTCGGAGATGACGTTTTACGAGTCCTTTTATACGAATACTGCCTCAATTTTTTCGCTACGTTATAGGAATTGTCGTTATAGGAACGTACGTTATAGGGGGGTCGACTGTATAGTAAAATTGATAAATCGTTTCTGAATATTGGTATTAAACAAATATGGCCGAATGAATAAAACCACTGAACACTTGGTCTTGGGTTCGCGCTTAGCCACGTAAAGTTTTTCGAGTTTTTTTCACGTGTGTAACACTGTAAATAGGCCAGTTTTCCATAGAAAGACCTTCAGGGAGGCATTCCCCTTGGCGGATGGCACAATTGTCGCGTTACCATAAGAAAATAAACCAAACACGGGTACCCGTTCAAGTGAATGGTCTCAACACCAAACCCGAGATTAGTACCATGTGATACTTTCGACACTCGATACCTTTGTGCTGCTACTCACATAATTCAAAACTTGGCATCTTAATTAAACAAGAAATCTGCAAAACCAAGCCTCAAGTTTGAAGTTCCCTTGCATTGCAATCCAGCGAATTTCTTGAAATTAATTTTTATTCTTCTGCATTGAAATATTAGTGAAAAAAATTCTGCATTTTTTTTTTTATTTCAGGAAGGTGACGGATGCCACTTCGACTTTAGCGGTGGCAGTTTTATTGTTTGTTATTCCGTCAGAACCCAAACTTCGTTCCACCAGTCCTTCGCTATTACAGTGGAAGACCGCTCAAGAGAAAGTACCTTGGGGAGTTTTCATACTTCTGGGTGGAGGATTCGCTCTGGCAGAAGGTGCAAAAGTAATACACAATATTCTTACTCTATTTCAACGTATCTGTCAACCGACGAAGATACGGATAGTAATAATTATAATTCTTAATTATTCGTATGGAATTCATTAAGACGTCCATATACTTAATAGGATTCTGGCTTTTCCGATTGGCTAAGCCGAAATTTATCGAAATTGAGTGATTTCTCTGCACCCGTTTTATGCTTAGTATTGTGTCTGGTGGTCCTATCTCTTATTGAAGTTTCGGGAAACACTGCTACGGCCACTGTCCTCTTCCCAGTCATTGCCAGAATGGTAAGTTGCATGTTGTATCAGTTGCAGTTTGCATCTAGCGATGCTACATTATAACACGTAATTAATATATTTTCTCCATCACAAATATATTATTTTGACATAATACAAAAAAAATTATATACAGTAGTTAATTGGGGCCTTTTAAATCCCTTCCTTACCTTGTTCTTTCTACGATTTGTGAATTGTTTTATAAATTTATAAACGAAATAATTATATAAAACTCTCTAAAAGAAGAGAAAGCTTTTAAGAAGTGATAAAGGAAAAGAGACAGGCGACATATAAAAGATGCAGTTTTTATTAAAATCTTCAATGATAAAGCATTTATTACTTCTTACGTATTTAATATTATTCGTTCTTTATTTTGTAAATCTTTCTAGAAATATGCAAAAATTAATGTAATTTGAATTTCACTTCCTTTAAAACCTTATAAAATAAACACTGAGTGAATGGGAATTCGAAAGATTTCGCTTTGATTTTTGTATTTTTTCCTATTCGTGTCTTTGCATTTGTACAACAGAAAATTATTAAGAGATGTAAAAAGGGAAATTGAATCAGGAAGAGCTTTTTAAATATCGACTCATAAACAATAAATCTGTTGTAAAATAAAACAAGAAGTGATGTTTCGCACTTTAGAACATAAAAATAAAGGATGATATTCCAAAGTAAAATCTTTCACATCTTAGGAAATTTTTATCTATTTTCATTTCTTATTCAATTTGCATAAATATTCAACAGTTTTTTTTAATTATTAAAACAGAAAGAATAATAATAAAACAAAAAAAAGGGGGACTAACAACGAGTTGCTTAACTTTCCCGGCGAAAACATTTAAATTGTGTGTGGTGCCATCTGTTATGACATTTTACTTGAAAGTTTTTTCTATTATAAATAATACTAAAGTACCAAAAAGCTTAATTTTGAGGATAGAGATGAGTTTAATCGAGACGTGTCACACGAGTGTTTGTATCTCCCCACCCCCTGGACTTTTAACCATCAAAGTTTAGGGTCATCAACGTTCCTTACTGCCAGACTTCTGTGAAAAATTTCAGAAAATTTCGACCAAAGACACGGGCGTTATTAAGCTTCGAATTGGGTGAACAAATTCGTGCTCTCCCCCTCCCACACACATTAACATCGACAAATACAGAGGGGAAAAATACCCCCAAATTTTGTGAATTTATGGACATTTTAAGGGTCCTTTTTTTAGACCGATCTGCATACTTTCTGTTTTATAATACAGCCGAGAAAGTCAGATCAATAATGCACCCTAAATTGTTTGAATTACAAATTGTTCTTAGATTACACGTCAATTTCGTCAGATAAGACATAAAATTTTAAAACAAGAAATTACGTATATTGAGATTATTTGTAATAAAAAAAAAGTAATCATCGATTTACATTTTGATATACGGTAATTTCCCATATAAAAGCGAAGCTGATTATATCTTATCTGTGTCGTAGTATATCACACTGTAATGAAGATCAACGAGGATAAGAAAGGGTTGCATCGTATATTGTAGTTACTGATAGAACTTATTAATGGAGACTACAACTTTATCAAATTATATTTACAAATCGATGAAGTTACATTTATTTATCCTTTATCAACCTTTATCTCATTCGTCATCGTTATCTCACACCATTTTATTTTTTCTATAAATTCTATAATAACTCCTAATATAATTCTGGTTTTTAATTTATTATAATACTACCAGTAGACCCCCCTATAACACTGTTGATAATTCCGTTTTATATGAATTCCATGTTGTACGAATCACTTAGATTTTACAAATATGTGTGCCGGGCTGTAACTTATTTTATTTAGCGCGAAGACACTTTATCAAAGTCAACTGGCAATTAGATCAGTAGAGGTAAAAGGGCGGGCGGTGCGGTGTAGAGAGGGGTTGTAGCATGTGCCACACTGAACAACACCGTCGCTCTCACCGCCGAGTGTTAGCGCACGTAGCAAAGCGGCAACGTATACTTTTTCGCCATTATTTACAAAGTTAATTGAGTATTTGCGGATCCGCAGCGCTGGATCCGGCAGACCGAAGAATGCGCTAGATCCAGCTGAATTGCTGGATGAGGGATCCAGCAATTGCAATCCCTAGTAGTGTCACCTCGTGGCAGGGCCGTGCGGTAGATTTTCTCAGTATGATGCAAGTCTTCGAAATGCCGCCTCTTAAATGCCGCTTATGCCACACCTTAAATGATGCTTATGACGCCCATTACAGTGCTGCCTGATGCGGCCGCATCTCTGCATCATAGCACGGCACGGCCCTGTTCAACATCACGATTAAACCAAAGGAATTAACACCACTTAGACAAAGTTTAAAGCGATTTTTTATACCATAGGTAGATACGTAATTCTCCTAACTTTAATTACTTTTGTAATTTCTGTTTTTATTGGCATGTTTTCATTTCTTATTATCAATTGAAAGAAACAAGCAACTCTTCGCTTGCCATTCGTCATTTGCAGACGAACGACAACCCAGAACTCACCACGTGCAGGTGGCTGCTTCAGAGTTCCACCAAGAGTTGGAATGAATGCAACTTTATAAGCGACTGACATCACTTGTCGAGTTTCATTCGTCCTAACTCATCGTATCGCTACTATCTAAACTAATGGATACGATATTACAACAACTATTAATAATGAAAGAAAGAAAGCCACTAAGATCCCAGGTCATAATAAAAATCACGTTAAGGCCACAAAATTTACTTCAAACTCATACCGAACCTCAATAAACAAAAACGAAAATTCTTGCCCTGCGCGAAATTTAATAAAACGGGACACAAAAAGCCTTCTCCGCTTTTCCTCGGCATCATCTGTCTTCACCTGAGCAGGCCTTAAAGATGTGGGACACAGAAAGCCTTCTCCGCTTATCCTCGGCATCATCTGTCTTCACCTGAGCAGGCCTTAAAGATGTGGGACACAGAAAGCCTTCTCCGCCTTTCCTGGGCGTCTTCTCACTTNCACGTATTTGTAAAATCTAAGTGACTCGTACAACATGGAATTCATATAACATGGAATTATCAACAGTGTTATAGGGGGTGTCCACTGTATTCAATTTCAAGCTTAATAACTCCTGTGCCTATTGTCGAAAATTTCTGAAATTTTGCAGGGAGGATCGTATGTCTGGGGCATTAATGCTGTTAAAGTTTAGTGGTGAAAGGTCAACGGGTTGGGGAGATAGAAGTGAACTTATGCGTCATATCTCGAGTATAGTAGGACTTAATGAAGATTTTACTCGTTATTAGCATTCGCAATGTTTTTATAAAACTCATCTCTACCTTGAAAATTAAGCTTTTTGCCGTTTTATAATAGTTAATAATATAAGAAAACATTTCTAACAGATGGCGCCACACACAATTTTAACTCCTACCAGGAAAGTTACGAAACTTGTTGCTGTATTTTTAACAATAGTGAATAATCTACCAGTATTAAAATTTACGTGAAAATCTATAATTAATATTTTATAAATTAATTCCTTTTAATGGAATTTTATGAATTGAACTGATTTATTAAGGATTTTTGATTTAGTTTCCACAACAATAATGGTGCAGACGTTTCCAGGGAGTATTTTATGGTCCTTTATTATTATTATTCGTGTATAACCAGTGATAAACATTATCATTACTTAAGTAATATTTAACTAATGATATTGTATAATAACGTCAGATGTGCTCGTTTATTATCTGTAATGAAATCTGAAAAGCTTTGTAACCTTCATTTTTAAGCAAGCGAATTGCCATTAAGCATCGTTATTACTGATAACAAATGATGCTATCGACACGGTAAACAGAACAAATTCTCCTTTCAAACAATACGTAACAATAATTTAATTGACATATTTATGTGAAGTATAAATCCGGTGTTTTGATAGTGACTTTATAAAAAAACAAGAAAGATTATAAAGTGTTTTCATATGTACAGGCGATTCGGAAGTAGAGAACGTCTTTAAATATTCATATCTCAATGAATTTTGATCTTAAACACGTGCAATTTTCACAGAAATATTCAGAGTGACACAAGAGAGTTTTACGTTCCCTGTGTTATAAAACAGAGGGAAATTTCCCTCTCATAGCAACCGATCAATAAGTGACTCCCCTCCTCATACATTTTCGGACTCAGGGGAGCTTGAAATGTCAAAAAATGCGAAAAAATTCAGGGGTTTCTGCATGTATATTACTGTATGGGTGAGGGGCACGATTTTGTTCACCCAATTTGAAGCTTAATAACTCCCGTACCTTTAGTCGAAAATTTCTGTAATTTTGCAGATGGGTTTGGGTGTTAGAATGGTTATTCCTGTTAAATTTTGGTGGTTTAAGATGAAGGAGGAGGAAAGATAGATGGGAGTAATCAACTTGTTGCTGAAAAAGTTTTATTCAAGCTTTAGTTATAATTTGTGCCGTCAGGTGATGCTGATTTGAGGGTGAAGACTGGTACAAACTTCTCAGAAAATTTTTTAGGGGAAGGTTTTTACACGATCCGAGAGAGGGGCACGTACCCCGTTTGCTGTGTTCGCTCGTAGATACGAAAGGTGACAGAAGCGAGTTGCAGAAACAACTTACAGCGCTTCCATTGCTTATGAGCGCTACCTAGTGGCGAAAATTTTAACTAAAATTTGCATAAATTGTTTTACTTTAATAAAAAATATCACGTGTCGTTTCGATTATTTCTATAACTGCTTATGTTCAGAGCGAAAACTTACTGTGATATAGATTTTTACTGACTTCTGGATCCTCCGGTATTCATAATACCTTACGTATAGGATATTAATTAAAACGTTTACCATATTATGTAATGCAGGCTGTATTAAAACATTTTGGCTTATTTATTGTTTAATTTACGGGTTTTTCAATTTAACGCTCGAGAAATTTTTTTTTTGTCATTTTATTAGTATAATATATTGAAAATTTGTTATATAATATAACTAATTTTAATTATATTTTAATTAAAAAAGTTTTCGTGAAATATATCCGGCATTAATCATTGCTAACTTTCATGGAGTAATAAATATATATTTTTTTCTTTCACAGTATATATATTTTTTTCTTTCACAGTATATAAGAATAGAAGCAAAAAGTCCTATTAAAAATTCGAAATTTGGTAAAATTAAGCTAATAAATTGTGAATTGTCACATTTAATAATGGAAAAAGAAAAAGATTTTAGAACATTTTACTTTTTAACAATGTTATTTTTGAGTGTATAACATGGGAAAGTATCGTGTCAAATTCGACCCTTCTGGTCTTTTCCAAATCTCCACGTCTTCAGACCTCTCGAACCCCCCCCAAAAAAACAATAGTTTAATATTATAGATGTATAGTATAATTGGTATATATGTTTGGTCTCAAGTATTATAATTTTTTCAGGCTGCCATTCGAAGGATTCATCCACTGTATCTGACGTTGCCCACCGCAATTTGTTCTTCTTTTGCATTCATCTTTCCGGTTGCTTCTGCTCCTAATGCTATCATATACGAAAACTTTAAATTAAAAATTAAAGAAATGGTAAGTTATTTACTGTATTGTCTTTATAAAATATTAATATGAAGATATTATTAAATGAATTAATCTTCATCTAATTATCATCCTAAAAACAGAAGGATGGATTAATGTAATCCATCCTGGAAAAGGATATTTCGTATAAAGTAACATTTTATTTATAATTTAACGTGTGTACTTTTAATTATTATTTAGATAATACCAGGATTGTTGGCGAAAATCATCTGTTTGGCAGTCACGTTTCTGATGATAAACACATTGGGGAGCGCCATGTTTAAAACCGATACCTTTCCCGAATGGGCTAACAATTCATTGACAGACCCTTCTTGAGAGCAGCTTCCATTTTATATATTATTCTCTTATAAAAACTATAACTTATTCTATCGTATTTATTGTTCTCTCTGATCTTTTATATAATAAATATATTTGGAAAAATTGAATTATGTGTCGTCATTTAATTAACGTACTCCAAAGTAACGAGTGGTTTACATTCTTTCTTCTCAATTAGATACACGTGCAATTGAATATAATTTAAATTTTTTTATTATAATTTTTTAAATTACGTCACAATTCTTTGACACGACAAAAATACCAGGGTTTGATTGACACGTCATACACTATCGTTCTTTATTATTTATAACGAGATCGATGTTACCGTTCCCCGGGACGTAGACCCAGAGGTTAGATTTTTGGGTGTTGTGGAACGTGGTTCTTTATAGTGCACGTGAATGAAATCTTTGGTGATTGGATGCGAAGAACGTGTCGTTGTTTGAACTGTGTGTTTTAGCGTGAGGGATGTTGTTGTTTCTGTGCGTGGATGTGAATTAGTAAACTGATGTAAGTACAAGAGGAAATAAAAAACCTTTTGCCTTCTTATACTATGTTAGTAAATTGAAACTAAAACCATAAATTTAAATGATACTTCAGAAATAGCAAAGGAAAAAGTCGTTCACATCTCTTGCGAAGCGACGCTTTTTATTTTGCATCCTTGCCCATACCGAACGAGAGGATTCCACTCGTTGGAAAAGGGAGGAATGATCGAAACATTCCTCCCCTCCCAGTGCGGTAAAGATGATGTCGTCAACATGGAGACATTTCAATTTTCGGAACACGAAATGCCTCCTCTCCTGAATGCTGAACAGAAAATGCTGTCGACATCTGCTATTCCTGAAGGCGATCCCGTGAAGGAAGAACCTCTTCCGCAATGGAAGAGAGTTTCTCTCCCCGCTCAAAGAGGGAAAGGCCCTTTCTTCATCGATTGCGGAAAGACAATGCCCTTCATACTTCGTATTCTTGGGCCGCAGCCCAAGAACAGTCAGCTCTTCATTCTGTAAAGAAACAAGAAATATATATATTAAATTGATGGGATTCAGATATAGACTACTTAATGTAGAAAAAGTTCAAGATTATACTCACGACGGATCGGAATTCGGATAGCTTGCGTTAGATCCAACCGGAAATTGCTAGAACGTTCGAACTACATTCGCGAACGTACGAAGAAGCGAAACGTGTCAACATCCAAACTCGCCATTCGGGACACGAACGTTTAAGTAGCACAAAGCATTCGCAGAAGGTTACGTAAGTGCACTCAGAAAAGACCACCTTGTGGAAAGAGCCTAAGCCCTAAGAAAAAGAATTCTTCGTGTCCAGCCCGTATAGATAACTGTTAAGTGTATTAGTATTAGATGTGTTTGCAGACAATTTAATTCTCGCAAAATAAGCCGTTGTAACTAATACATAAACTCAATAGAGAAGTCGGAGGTCAAAGGGCGAAATTTTTGACCTGTCGAAGGAACATCCCATGCTTCAGAATGCGGTTTCCGTCCATCAGACAATGTTATGAGAGTATATTTTAGTTAAAATTACGATACTCTAGATGAAATTCCTATTTAAAGTTAGTATTAAATAAGTTTTAATTGAATTTCTATAAATAAGATATTTGCAAATAATCCTTATTCTTTGACCGTGTTTATAAAATATACAGAAGACCCCCCTATAACACTGTTGATAATTCCGTGTTATATGACTTCCGTGTTGTACGAATCACTTAGATTTTACAAATACGTGAGCCGTTCACAGCCCGGCACACGTATTTGTAAAATCTAAGTGACTCGTACAACACGGAATTCATATAATACGAAATTATCAACAGTGTTATAGGGGGTCTACTATCTAAATTAATTAATTAAAAGATACTTTATCCTTTGCATCTGGTCGACAAAACGACATGTATAGGAAGGGGTTCTTCCTTCACCGGAGGCGACTTCCGCTTGTATGCACGCACTGCAACCTACTGTCGGCGGAAGAGGTGCCGTAGGTCCCCGTGAATCAACATCCGTGGATAATCATCTGTCTCTGTTGAAGGTAATTGTACAATCTATTTTCTTGGCCTTTTACGTAGGCAGTTTTCTTTAGTCTTTGCCGATGTGTCTTTCTTTAGCAGTGGCGTGCCGTCCTTGGAAGCGGGGGAAGCGCCGCTTCCCTTGTATTTTCTAAAATATAAAGACATATTGCGCGATTATTTTCATATTTTAACGTATTTTGAAATAATTAAAATTAATATTTTATTATAACCGCATTATGTATCTTATTAGAAATATCTATACTATATGTGAAAAAAACATATAAGACCGCTATTGTATATTCGAATATCAGTGGCGGAATGGAAGCGATGTATTGTATAAGAAAAAGAATATATAAAGAAATATATAAGAAAAAGCTCTAGAATTTATTTTCCTTAACCGAACCAATCTCTAAGTGGAGACTGATTTCTTCGTAATATTAGACGTAATAAAGACAGAAAATTTTTCCAGTTCAACGAGCGTGACTGAAAAATAAATTTTGGAAATTTCCGTGGACACCTGGTCCTAAAACGAATTAGTTATAAAACAAACGACGGACAATCTATTAAGTTTAACGTATTTAGATTTTTACAGCTATGGCGAGAAACGTTTAAAATTTACAACGACCCTGTCGCGTCCATTGAGGTATACTAGTGATGAGACAAAAGAGGCATTTAACATTGACCGGTATCGGCACCCTCGGGATTTGGCAGCCAGCGTGCATGCACGCTCTGCACACCTACCAGAACTGTCTCCAATTCCATCCATTAGCAACTGGTATGGATCTATTTGACTAAGTGTATTGTTTTAAGATCTAAAAAGTAAAGAATATTTTATGTTATTTTTATGTAGTTTCTTTACAAAGCTATACTGTATTTAATTATAATTTTCTTTAAAAGTATATTTATACAATTGAAGAATATTTTGTATAAAAATATCAAAGATATACTGAATGTATATTTATATTCTATACTTATTACTATATAGAGACAACGTATTTTTCCTTTGTGACTACTGACCGTGAAAACTACTGAACCAATCGTTTCCAAATTTTAGCTGTAACATCTTTATGATCCCNTCTATTTATCTCTCTTTTCACTAGATGGCGACACATGAATTAGTACTTTCTGTCAATGCATTATCTATAAGAAAAGTCTATTATTAAAGTTTACTATTATATTTCAAGAACTGACATTAAATTATAATTAGTTAATTAGCAGGTCATAATTTCATCTAGAAATATATATATAAGCAGAAGAAATAAATAACATTCTTCTTGAAAAAGTCAATGGTAACAACTGAGATACAGTTTTAAGCAGATGATGCAGTCCATTATCTACAAAGAGTTTCTTAAACTGAGATCGTTCCGTCACGTGATTCACTGACGTCAAAACCGACTGTAAAATAGAATTATGCATCAGGACTAAAAGAGGAGTTACTTATTTTATTTAGCGCGAAGACACTTTATTTAGTGAGAGCGGAAAGTCAACTGGCAATTAGATCAGTAGAGGTTGCCATCTTGACCCTCGGTCATCCGGCAGAACTTAAAAAATATTGGACGAATCCAAAATCTAGAAATAACTCGCAATACGCTAAAACAGTTGTGCATTATATTTATTACATTTCACAATTTAATTTTCTTGGATACTTAACAGAAAACTATCATGGCACACTTTATATATAATTATAAATGAACAGATTTGTAGCACTAATATAATAATATAAGCACGTCATGTTTGATCATTAAGAGAACTTGCTGTTGAGTTTGATCAGACTCACTTCAGGGCCAGCCGGTTGGTGAGAGACGGGACCCAACATGTTTAGTGCATCTCGATATAGCGTCACTCTTATTAAGTGCCTCGCTTGTGAACGGATCTATGTTTGTTTGATGTAATTTTGGAAAAAATATAAAATTATGGTTACCTTAGGCAATATCGACATCGCTTGGCAAGAATTAACTGACAAATGCATGAACGAAGTGTGGAAGAAGTTATAGCTGGAGGTGTCCAAGGGTTCTCACGAGAAGAGTCTATCGTTGACCAAATTGTCAACCTAATCAATACAGCAAGACTAGGAGATGTAAATGAGCAGGATATTAAGGAATTATTACTGCAGGTTTGTGGCGAGAGCCTTGCCAACGACGACCATCAAAAACTGACAGCACAAGGAATTCATGTAGAACTGGAAAATAGTGATTCTCTTTAATCTTTAATCCCGAAAGACACTATGGCCTGTTGGCCTTTTTCAAGTGCCAGAAAAAATACAACATAAATGAAACACCAAACAACAGAGGGGAAAAATTTGAACATATGTATTCTATTTAATGGAACGCTAATGTTCTAATTCTCTGAGGATTAAGCCTGAGGAAGCCTATAGAGTAAGTCGAAAACGTTAGTTTTCAATAAAACTATGTCGGCAACAAGAAAGGTGTGTTGTGATAAAGCTAATATAATATATGTCTATAGTGGGATGTTGGATAGTTTTATATTAAGTGAGTGATGTATAAAGAATATATTTCAACCGTTTGTTTATATATATATAAGTTTGTGCCCTGTAAATTTCACTTTTATAATTTTATTTATTAGAAAAAAGCATTATCTTTAAAAAGTTAAAATAATCCTGTTTCTAATAAATATTATTTTAATAAAATAATCTTTTCTGAAATATTTCAAACCGATTAATATATTTACGTAACATGACGTGATAGTAATACGTCACGCGTTGTTCAAAATATATTCTAACAATACCTAATGAATTGTTACAATGCATTGTTCGTTTTTTCTATTGTAGGTAACCATTGNTAACGAATTGTTACAATGTATTGTTCGTTTTTTCTATTGTAAGTGACCATTGTAAGGACAGAAGACGTCTACGAAAGGCGAAGAACACTCTCTGTGTCCCGAATCTTTAAGGCTTACTCGGGTGAAGACGGGAGATGCTGACGGGGCGAAGAGGGGTCTCTGTGTCACGTTTCTTTAAGGCCCGCTCGAGTAAAGAGGCCGACGAGAGATGGATAGTCCTCCGAGTGTCCCGCATTTAATTAAGGTCCGCTCAAGCGAAGACGTCGACGAAAGGAGAAGAACACTCTCTGTGTCCCGCATCTTTAAGGTCCGCTCAGGTGAAGTGAGATGATGCCGAGGAAAGGCGGAGAAGGCTTTTTGTGTCCCGTTTTATTAAATTTCGCGCAGGGCGAGAATTTTTGTTTTTGTTAATTGAGGTTCGATATGAGTTTGAAGTAAATTTTGTGGCCCTAACGTGATTTTTATTATGACCTGGGATCTTAGTGGCTTCCTTTCTTTCATTATTAATAGTTGTTGTAATATCGTATCCATTAGTTTAGATAGTAACGATACGATGAGTTTCGAATAGTTGAATTTCATGTATTCAGACGAAATTATAAATATTTTCATTGTGTGAGTTAGGACGAATGAAACTCGACAAGTGATGTCAGTCGCTTATAAAGTTGCATTCATTCATTCCAACTCTTGGTGGAACTCTGAAGCAGCCACCTCCACGTGGTGAGTTCTGGGTTGTCGTTCGTCTGCAAATGACCAATGGCAAGCGAAGAGCTGCTTGTTTTTTTCAATTGATAATAAGAAATGAAAACATGCCAATAAAAACAGAAATTACAAAAGTAATTAAAGTTAGGAGAATTACGTATCTACCTATGGTATAAAAAATCGCTTTAAATTTTGTCTAAGTGGTGTTAATTCCTTTGGTTTAATCGTGATGGTGAATTTCAATTCATCCTAGTTCTGAATTATTAAAATATATATCTAAAATAGAATGTTTGTTAGTTTTA